CCTGTCACAAAAGTGTGTTGCTGACATCTTCTTTTGCACTGATGCCTTAGTCTGTGTAGAGTACCATGGTACGAATCATTCCATTTTAACAGCAGCGAAAGCTGTTTGAACATGAAATTTACAGAACACACAGATAGCTAACTAAATTCCTTAGCAGAAAAGAAATCAAACATGAAGAATCTTAGAGTTGGCTCAAGAGGTCCCCCTGCAGGTCACAATAGGAAGCAGGCAGTGGCCCCTTTGTTCCCTGCTGTGAGAGCACTACCCTTGCTAAATCTGCTCCTAGGGAGAGCCCTCAGGTTTCTGAAAGTAGGTCCATGTTCTAACCAGAACACCAATCACACCATGAACAAAAGAGCCCACACACACCCTGATGCCACAGATGAGCATAGCCATTTGTATGTGGTCACAGGTGACAAATCGTGTATAAGAAATTAAGATACCAGATGTACAGAGTCTGATCAGTGCACAAGGGAAAAAGAAGCTAGCACCAAATAAACAAAAAGCAAGGTACAAGTTTAGTGCCATTCCCCATACTCTAGACAAAACTAAGTAATCTAACTGTAAATAACAGGGCTGATAAATGGTGACCAGTTTTTTTTTTCATTTTTTATTTTATACATATGGAGGTTTGCTTGCATGTATGTCTGTGCAACATCTGCATGCAGTGCCCTTGGAGGCCGAAAGGGGTCGTCAGATCCCCTGGGACTTGAGTTACAAATGGTTGTGAGCATCTATCTTAGTTACATTTTTATTGCAGTGATGAAACATCATGGCCAGGGCAATTTACAAGAAAATTTGGGGCTCATGGTTTCAGGGAGAGTATTTGGTGGAGATCATGGCAGCAGGGAGGCAGGCTGGCATGACACTGCTTACATCTGATCCACAAGCATGAAGCAGAGAGGCTGGGCCTGGTGTGGGCTTTTGAAACCCCAGGAAGTCTTTCCCCAGTGACACACCTGCTCCAATAAGGCCACACCTCCTAGTCCTTTCAAACAGTTCCACCAACTTGGGACCAAGCGTTCAAATCTATGAGCCTATTGCCATTCCCATTCCGACCACCAACAGCTTCCATGTGGGTTCTGGAAGAGCAGCCAGTGCTCCTAACTGCTGAGCCATCTCCATAGCCCAAGAACCAGTTTCTTCTTTTAAAAAAATGAGAGAGGGTCAGGGATGTAAAGTGCTTGATTTGTGAGTGTGAAGACCCAAGTTCAGATCTCTAGCCCCTGTAGAAACCCAAGAGTGATGATATACACCTATAAATGCCGGTACCAGGGAGCCAGAGATAGGAGGATCCCTGGAGCCCAATGACCAGCCAGCCTGGCCAGATCATGTCCAGGTTCATCGAGGAATCCTGTCTGAAGAAATGAAATGGAGACTGATTGAGGATGATCCCCAATGATGAACTCAGGCCTCTTTCCCAGCCTCACACAAGCCTATACATTTGCCCATATGAACACACACACACACACACACACACACACACACACACACACGTGCAAACTGAGACTCGTGTACAGATTTTCAAACATACTGTGCTCCTTGAGCCAGAGCTCTTTTCCCCTTCATCGCTACCCACACTACGTTTTTGTGACTACGTTAGCCCTGGTCTCCGCTTCAAGGGAACAGGAAGGATGTGACAGAGACAGTCCCCTCCCTTCTTCATCAGCAGTTTGTGGAAATTCTTCCAAGCATAGAAATGTATGTTTGCCCAGCAGTATTCATGGTAATACTGCAGTGCAGGTCGGTGATGTTGGCATAGAAGTGGGCAAATTTCTGCCACAGAGACATATTTTCTGCTTTTATTTTTATTTTTTAAGATTTTATCTTATGTGAATTGGTGTGTCACCTGTCTGTGTGTCTGTGTGAGGGTATCAGATCCCTTGGGACAGGAGTTACAGACAGTTGTGAGCTGCCATGGGTTCTGGGAGCTGAACCTGGGTCCTCTGGAAGAGCAGCCAGTGCTCTTAACCGCTGAGCCATCTCTCCAGCAAGCACGTGAAGAGTGTGTCAAGATAACTCTTATTGCTTCATCAAAGTAGCATGCATGTTATAGAAAAAATACATGTAAGCATATAACTTGGTGCATTTTCACAAACTGAATAATGCTACCATGTAATTTGCACCCAGAACTAAATCCAAAACCTAGCTATCACACCAGAAAACATCTGTTATTAGAAGTCAGATGCTTTCTTTGATTCTTTAAATTAAGAAATACTATCTGGGCGACAGTGGCACACGCCTTTAATTCCAGCACAGAAACAGGCAGATCTCTGAATTTGAGGCCAGCCTGGTATACAGAGTAAGTTCCAGGACAGCTAGAACTCCACAGTGAAATTCTGTCTCAAAAAACAAAGGTGGGAGGGAGGGAGAAAGGGAGGGAGGGTGATGGAGAAAGGGAGGGAGGGTGATGGAGAAAGGGAGGGATGTCTTATGATGTCTGTGCTGGCTAGATTTCTGTCTACTTGACACAAATCACAGTCGTGGGAGAGGAGGGAGACTCAACTGAATGATGCCTGTATAAGATCCCGCTGTAGTCAAGCCTGTAGGGCATTTTCTTAGTGATCCATGGGGGAGGGCTCAGCTCAGTGTAGGTGGTGCCACTCTGAGCTGGTGGTCCTGAGTTCTATAAGAAAGCAGGCTGAGCAAACCATGAGGAGCAAGCCAGTAAGCAGCATCCTCCATGACCTCTGCATCAGCTCCTGCCTCCAGGTTGGGTTCCTGTCCTGACTTCTAGCAGTGAACAGTGAGTGATGTTGAAGTGGAAGGCAAATAAATCCTTTCCTCCCCAAATTGCTTTTGATCATGGTGTTTCATCCCACGAACAGTGACCCTAGGATAGCATCTCAGGTTGTTTTTATCTGAAGTCCCTGAAGGTTGTACGTGTTCTTTAGCATGGTTAACTTTGCCCTGAGTGCTCTTTCAGTTAGGGTTTCTGTTGCTGAGATAAAAACCAAAAGCAACCTGGGGAGGAGAGGGTTCATTTCATCTCATACTTGCAGGAACAGTTCAACATTGAGGGAATTTAGGGCAAGAACTCAAACAGCACAGGATCCTGGAGGCAGGAACCAATGTAGAGTCGGCTTTCTATAGAACCCAGGAACAATACCCCAGGGATAGCTCCACCCACAATGGACTGGGCCCTCCCCCACCAATAATTAAGAAAATGCCTTACAGGCTTGCCTACAGCTGAATCTTATACTAGCTTTTTCTTAACTGAAACCCCCTCCTCTCAGATGACTCTAGCTTATGTCAAATTGACGGAAATCTAGCCAGCCCCTGTGCCTTAGTCAAGAGTTCTAGATGCAGGCATTCCCAGCATTCCCAGCTCCCTTCCTCCTCAGCATTCCCGTTGGCCCTTCATTGGGCTGTGTTTATTCTGAGCAGTTCTTCCTGGTGCGCGCACACGTTGGTTTATTCTATTAGCTGTGAACGCTCTTCAGAGCTTGCCTGCTTGCATACCTCAGCACCTGAAATACAGTCAGCCAGTTGAGTGGTGGCAGCCACCACTGTGACCGTGGTTTTGTTTTGTTTAACAAACAAGCCCTCCTCATCTAATAGAGGACAGTCAAGCCTTCCCTCTGACTCGTGAGTGTCAATAGGTCAGTGTTGGGAAGTGACTCTTTCAGAAAGGAGTCCATCGCCAGGCTCCAAACTGAACGTGGCAGGGGTATCGTAGTGGAGTCTCAGGCCTCTCCGAGATGTGAAGCAGCAGTGGTTCCAGGGCCGAGAGTGGGGACCAGATATAAATAGCAGAACACAAGTGGGGTAATGTGCCACTGCCAAGCTACCGCTAGGGGTGTTATAAAAAGAAAAGCATTCCCAGGCAGCTCTCACTGTCAACAACATCGCATCCTGGAGGGACTCTCACCACAGCTGAGAGTAGGAATCAGTGTGCCCGGGGCATCATTTAAACTCCCTGCAAAGGCACAAATACCAGGTAAGCATTTTGATTTATCTGCATCCAGACCTCTGAATTGCAGACCAGGGGAGCCCTGGCTCACAGCTGACTTGGCTCATGCTGCCTGTGTTAAATTCCTTTTACTTTTTGAGAGGGAAGTTTGACACTGCATAGCATTTAAAAATAACTACAAATATTTTGATAGTGCTGGACAAAAGAACTGCTTTTGAATAAAGACAGGAACCTGGGGCCAAAATGAGTTACAAAGAGAAAGGCTACCTTCCCTTTCCCTGTGCCATTCATTTCCTCTTTCAGAACCTAGACTAAGGAGATTGGTAAAATAGAGGGAAATGGAGGTTTCACTTGAGTCACAGCGATGCCCGTGTTGTTGAAGCACATGTATGTGAGAGACTGGAGGCCAGAAGCCTGCATCTCTTAGTTGAGCTGGCTAATGGCTCTGGAGAGCTTCGGTCCGTGAGGATTCTTGCCCTCCTGGCTATCCCTTATGCTGCCACAAGTACCGGAATGGATACTGGATGCTCAGCCAGTAGACTACTAGGATCTAGTTAGGATCCCTGCCTTCCCAGGGCTCCTCAGTGGACTCCAGAACATTACACACTTGTTCAACCTCTGGCGTCCGGTGGTTGTGAGGAGTTGGAGGAAGGAGGTCACCTCAGGTACTCCACTCTGTCCTGCTGACCTCATCCATTCCCTCCCACCCTAACGGGCATGCTCTAGCTTGCCTGACAGGTGGGAGAACGGAAGCTATGTGGGGGAAATCTCTAGACAGTCCTTGGGAACTCGGAGATCAGGAGATGGGGAAACTTGTACCTAAGCAACCCTGATGGGAGAGGCGTGTCTAGAGTTGTGTGGAGGTGATGGATTTGATCTTGGAAGCACTGGAGTTCCCTGAGGTTTTGCTCGGCCTCTAGATAAAAGCAAATGGCTCTTGCAGCCATAGGAATGTGTTCAATAATCTCTTCTACCGTCACAGTGTCTGCCCACAATGAAAAAAAATAGATAGCATGTTATCTTGCTCTCTTTTCCTAAAACTCTTCGTTAACTCTACTGAATCAATTTTCTTGTCATTCTAATTTAGAAGAGAAAAGTGAAGATGGGACATTTTGAAATGGTCACCACGCTGCTGGCAGCCATGACTCTAATGGATGCCTTCCAGGTAATGTTGGGAATGTGCTCACTGGGATGGCAGCCTGTAACATTGCCTGAGGAATCTCTGTGGACTGGGAGAGGCTAGACTAGGCATATTGGTTTGTTGTAAGTAACTCTGCCTTCAGTTTGCAGGTGACACATGTGTTAAGTGTAGGAAGTTAAGAAATTACAATTAAACAAAGAGAACAGAAAAATTCAGTCATAAACACGCCCACTCAGAGGGAGAGACTCTTAGGGGACCGTGTAGATAGCTTATGTGGTTCCTCTCTCTGTGTGTATAATTTATTTTAAAAAGTAGGTTAATAGTGTACATAGTACTTTTAACCTTGTCTTCAAGTCATATGCACAGAATTTACATGTAAATAAATTTCTGAAACTATCATGTGTCTCCAAATAGTGCCACAGTGTTTTTGATTCCATGTTTGTTATTAAACTACATAATACTATTTCCTTGTTGTCTTTTTGCTGATAGAAATTTTATGATTTTGTTTGCCATTCAATATTTAAAAACTAATATACTTTTTGTATGTATTGTATGAGACAGGTATCTCACCTGTCTTCTTTAAGATACTGTAAATTTTAAAAACTGTATCCATTTTTAGAGCTTTAATCTACCTTCTAGAGCATTAGCATGTTCTGTTGCCTGCATATTCTTTAACTTGAAATATTGTAGTGGTTTCCAAGAAAATGGCCTCCTAAGCAAGTGGCACTATTAGGAGGTGTGGCCTTGTTGAAGTAGGTGTGGTCTTGTTGGAGGAAGTGTGTCAGTGTGGAGGTGGGCTTTGAGGTCTCCTATATATTCAAGTGATGGCCAGTGAGACAGTTTACTTCCTGTTGCCTGCATATCACTATGTAGCAGCTCCTTCTCCAGCACCATGTCTGCCTGCATGCCACCATACTCTCCACCATGACGACAATGGACTGAACCTCTGAAACTGCAAGCTGCCACCTAAGTTGACTGTTTCCTTTATAAGAGTTGCTGTGGTCATGGTGTCTCTTCACCGCAATAGGAATTCTAAGAAAGAAGTTAGTACCAGAGACTGAGGCATTGCTGTGATAGGCCTGACCATGCTTTTATTTGGAGGAGTATGGACCTTGGGACTGTGGATTAGAAAAGCTTTAAATGCTACTTAATGGACCATCCTAGTAGAAACATGAAGGGCAGTGGTGCTGAGTATGATTTGAACTATCTGGGGGCTGTGGTTCAAGAGGTTTCAGAGGGGAAGGATTTTAGTATGTTGCCTAAAAATTGTTCTTGCGATATGTTAGTGGAAAATGTGACTGCTTTTTGCCCTTGCTGGAAAAGTTTGCCTTAGGGTAAAGCGAAGAGTTTTTGGATTAATTCCATTGGCAGAAGAAATCTCAAAACAACCTAGTATAGACGCTGTTGTGTGGTTACTAGTGTTAACTCTAATGAAGATTAATAATGAAAAAGAGCAAGCTGAGCAAGGACAGACATTTGAGGAGAAAAGAACGCATGGAAGTGGAATGGAGCTAAGTCCTGTATTCTAGGAGAGAAACAGATTATAAAGGAATGGTGACCACAGGGCAAGATTCCACCAAGCTAAGGTTCCAACCTGTGAAAAGGAATCAAAGAAAATCTTAGAGTCGGGTGTGGTGGCCCACGCCTTGAATTCCGGCGCTGGGAAAGCAGAGACTGGTGGATCTCTGAGTTGAGGCCAGCCTGGTCTACAGATCCAGTTTAAGGACAGCCAAGCTTAGGTAGTGAAGGACAGATAGCTGGTGAAGATATAATTGACTAAGGGGGCCATGTTCTAGCCCCAGCAAGCAGTAGAACTTGGTGACAGCCTCAGCCATGTGTTGCTGGCTCTAAGTTAAGGAGAAGAAAGGCATTATGGAACCTTCCTCCCTAAGAAAATCCCCAGAGGGTTGTCAGGGGTGTTCCTGAATGGAGGCCTAGAGGGGCCATTGTGTGAAGCTGTGAAGTTGAAGCCTGAATCACCTTGGAGACCCAAAGATGTTGGAGATGCCAGAGCCATGGGGTACCTGCTGAGGAGAGCTGCTAACAGGGAGTGGAGCCGGCCCAAGAGGAAGTTGTTGTGGTCGACAAAGTTGAAAGGAGTCGGAGATCTGAAGATTGTTTTGACATCAGACACAAAGATGCAGAGTTTGGAGTTTGCCCAGCTGGATTTTGGTCTTGCTTTGCTCCAATATTTCCTTATTATGCTCCCTTCCCTACGTTTTGGAACAGTACTGTGTATCCTGTGCCATTGTATGTTGGAAGTATGTGACTTTTTTATTTTTATTTTACAAGGGATTACAGTTAAGAGACTGTATGAATCTCAGAAGAGACTTTGAACATTAGACTTTTAAATAAGTTTTGAGACTGTGATAAACTATGGGGACTTTGAAGTTGGGCTGAATGCATTTTTACATTATGATATAGTTACAAGTCTTGGGGGGGTCAGGGAGTGGAATGCAGTGGTTTGAAAGAAAATGGCTCCACATGGCACTAATGGGAAGTATAGCCTTGTTGGAGTAGATATGGTCTTGTTAGAGGAAGTGTGGCAGTGGAGGCGGCCTTTGAGGTTGCATATATGCTCAAGCCACACCCAAAGAGACCTACTTTTTGTTGCCTGCATGACAACATGTAGCAGCTTCTTCTCCAGCACCAGATCTGCCATGTCCCCATCTCCCATCCCATAATTATGATAAAGGACTGAAACTCTCAAACTGTAAGCTGCCACCTCAATGAAATGTTTTCTTTATAAGAGTTGCCATGGTCACGGTGTCTCTTCACAGCAATAGAAACCCTAACTAAGAGATAGAATTGAGATAGTCTTAAAAGCATTTTAGACCCTCCATTGGGTTTTAGTGTCTTAAAAACATTTTAGACCCTCCCATTGGTTTTTAGCATCTTTACGATGTTGACCAACAGTAACTGTGGAGTTGCATTGTATTTGCATATCATTTACACTTCATTTGCATATCACTTGCATCCCCCCCTCAGAAGCACTTTGCTTATCAGAAGTCAGTTCCCTCCTCATCAGTGAGATTTATGGACAATTCAGCAGAGTGGAATCTTGCATAATACAGTCTTTTGTGGATTCTTTTGCTTAGCATACTGTTTTCAAAGCCCTTTCATGTTGTGTCATGTATTAGTATCTCATTCTTTTCATTTATGAATACTAACGCCATTACATGGCTGACCACATTTTGTTTATCAACCCAGGCATTTGGGTTGTTCCACTTTATGGTAAATATGAATAGCATTGCCAAGAACATCTGTGTATGGGTTTCTGTTTGAGTGTTTTCCATTCTTTAGATAATCATTCCTCTCTAGAGACCTATCCAAGCACTGTTGCTAGCCTTGTGCAGTATTTATGTAAATACCTAGTTTTACCAGTGAACGTAAATTAGCCAGGCTGTGCTACACTGCATGACAGAACTGTGCATCATTGTGAGCATAGGCTTCACTTGGGTGTATCTAGAGGAGGGTCACTGGGTCATATGCTAACTTCATGTTTAACTCCTTGAGTTTCTGCTGAAGTGCCATCCACACGGGCTGCACTCTATAGCACTCCCGCCAGCATGGATTAGGGCTCCAATCCAGCTGTCCCCTATTTACTTGTGATTTTCCTCTTCCGCTCTTGTTTTTGTCTTTTCATTGTTCCCATTCTAGTGGGTATGAAGTGGTGCCTTTTGCAGTTTTAATTTGCCTTTCAAGTACCTGGTTTGCAACACATCATTTTAACATCTTTTAATGTTTTCCCATCTAATTGGTTTCTCTTCTGAAACACCAGCGTCATGTCTCCGTACTTGAAATGAATTTTTAGTAGTTGAATTTCATCACTATGGGCTTTTGTTTAGGTGGATATGTCAGAGGAAGAAAACATTAGCAGCTCATTCACTGAATCTTCCGTACCTTCTCCTTAGTGTCCATTCATCAGTCCTGAATGGCGATGGCATTTAGGAGCTTTGCCACCGCAAGGCACGCACTGTTCGGAACACACAATCAGCTGTGGTGTCTGGCCAGGAAGGCTTGCTGTCTAAAATTAGACATGAAGACCTCTCTGAGGCATAGGGAAAAGACAGGGACATATTGGATCAACTCTGATACGGTGTGAGGAATGTGGGCGGCGGTTTCAGGGCTGATGTCTTATGTTGCAGTCTTCAAGATAAATCACACTTGGTACTCAGGCTGAACTCTGGTACATTCTGTGCTACAGAGCAAAATGCATTTCTTAACTGTGAGACCCAAGGGACTTGATCTCTGAAGCTAAGATCCCCATGTCAAGAAACTGACCTCCAGACCCAGGAGAGGAAGGGTCTCAGTGACACCCATGGGAAAGCACTATGGTTAGCAATTCATTTCCGTTGCTGGCCTAGGGCCCACTTAGTTGTCTCGTTTGATAAAATGCTTTCTCCTGTTTAGCAAAATGAAACTCTTTTAAAGGTGTTACATAAGTGTCTGTGGGCATCATCACCGGACCATTCTAATGTTTAGAAGCAGCAGAATGTTAAGAAGGTAGAACTCTGGAACCAGAATGTCTGGGGTCAAATACCAATACCGTGTCTCAGTATCTTAGTTTTCTTATCTTTAAAGAAAGAGGTGGAAGGAAGGCTTGGTGCTGGAGAGGCGACCTGGTGGCGATGAGCACCCTCTGTGCTGGCAGAGAATCTGGGATAGGTTACCAGCACCCACATGGTCATAAAGCACCTGTAATGCTAGTTACACTGTCTTGTGACTTCCTTGGGCACCAGGCACCCTGGTGGTGATTTACATGCATGCACACAAACACTAACACACATAAAATAAAAATAAACCTTAAAGGTAAAATGAAACAGAAGGATGTTCGTGATCGCACCTATCCCAAGGGTTACTCTGAGTATCATGTGAGGTAATTCATAGAAAGCATTTAGTGCCTATACATGGAAAGGAGATGTTTGTGAGGCCTGGAAACGAGACAGCCATAGGGGGAGCCTTCTAAGAGCAGATGGTTCATGCTACTGATTCTAGGCAGGAAGCTTGTATATATGTATGTCTTAGACAAGGATGACAGGTCTTTGGGCGTTCAAACAAAGGGATCAAGTAGGCCGCTAACAAAGGGTCCGACTCTTACAGTGACATTCTCAGCATTACAGCCTAGTCTCCCTTTCAAGTGCCATTAATTTTCTTTATCCCTGATGTGATTGCAAGAATAGCTGTTGGAGTTCCTAAACCAACAGTAGCCCGAGGCTTACAGTTTTAAAGGGAAGGAGGTGGGAGAGGGGTGACCTGTCATAAGAGTGAGGGGGTGTGGCCGGAGGGAAAGGTAATGTTTGTTACCGTGTGTCTTATACCATTCGCAGTATTTTATACGTGATACTTCAGATTCTACAAAACAGTCTTGAGCGTTCGAGGGAATGAAGGTCAGGACGCTCTCTGTTGAGCCTGGACTGCCACTGAGGTCTTTAATCCCTTGTGCACCACAGAGCTCACGTGAATGAGTTGCAGACAGAATTCCTACCCATACCTTACTCTTTCATATGACCGTGAAAGCTGAGAGAAGCCACCCATAGCCTTGGGATGGACTTCATCGTTAAAAAGGGGATGAGAGAATGGGCTGTGAGAGAAAATTACACCAAGTAAAACTGTGACTTCCAGAGTGTTCCTCTCCTTTTGCTTTGAAGGTGAAGGCGGAAGTGTTAGACATGGCAGAGAACTCGTTTGACGATGAGTACCTGAAGTGCAGCAGCAGGATGGAAATGAAGTACATTCCGCCGCTGCTCAAGGAGGAAAGCGCCAGCCACAGGCTGCTGGCGACCGTGTGGGACAATGCCGGGATCATGTGGGAAGCCCGGAAGGCTCAGATCCCCGTCCCCCTGAACTTCAAGGATCCCTATGGAATAGCCCTGATGGCGTTCGTGACCGAGGCTCGAGAGCAAACTCCCTTTTACCACACGTTCAACAGAGCTGTGAAGATGGCTGGCCAGTCCCGGAAAAGCTACATCTATGACTTTCCCTTCAAAGCTTTTCATTTTTACCTGACGAGAGCCCTGCACCTGCTGAGAAGACCTTGCGAGGACAGCTACAAAGATGTGGTGTACCTCACAAGCCCAGGCATTTCCTTCACTTTCGGAGAGAAAAACCAAGCCCGGCTGGGCAACTTCACGCTGGCATATTCAGCTAAACCCCCCATAGCTAACAGCCAACCAGTGCTAACCATCCACACCTGCTTTGGAGTTGCTGTGGAAAAGTTTTTTGGTAAAGAAAGTGAGAGAGCTGTTTTAATACCTCTGAGTGAGGTTTTTCAAGTGTCGCAGGAAGGAACTGGCAAGGACCTTACTCTACATAGCATAAACAAGACCTGCAGCTACTACGACTGCGCATTCCTTGGGGGTAAGTGTCTCGGCCATGATGTGGGTTTTTCTGAGAGGAGAGGAGTGGGGTGCAGGCCCCGAGAGGTGTCTGGGAGAATGGAGTGAGTTTGCAAGGAGAGATGACATCAGCAATTTTCAGTCTCACACTCTCTGTCTCTATACCCACAACTCAGGAGTGGTCAAATGCACGTAACTTAATTGCTGAAGTTAAACAACGAAACGGCACTGTAAAGCAGAATCCCTTTTGCCCTGCAGGGTTTGGCAATGGTCAGAAATGTTTTTTGGTTGTCATAACTCCAGAAGAGGTGGGGTTGTTATTGGCCAGGAATGGCTAAACAATTCTTGGGACCCTGTCAAAACAAAGCATTATCTAGTGTAAAATGTCAGTAGTCCTGGTGTTGAGAAATCCCCTTACAAGCCATGCAGTAAAAACAGTTCCATCCCGTCTCCAAGTCTCACTGGCATCCATTCTAAATCATTTTACCTGTTTTTTTCCAGGTATACACCATCATGTATACTTTTATTATTTATGGATTTACATTTTTTAGATGACTTTCCTCATGTGTGCTCTTGGTTTTTTATTGTTGGTGGTGGTTTGCTTCTTTTTTTTAACTCCTGTAGTACTTCCTTTGACTTTATGACTTCATTTTTAAATATCGTATTAACAATTCACACCAGATCCTTTAACAGAAATAGCGATCTCTCCATACATCTTCCCAGCCCCTGCACATACCCTCCTGGATTCCCTCGTCTTGCTCTGGGCTGTGCTCCTAGGCTCTCTGAAGGTTCTGTCTCCACGCCAGCCGAACTCCAGTCTGAGGCCCTGCCTCTCCCCACACAGACCTGTTCTGGATTTGCACATCGTCCCCAAGTTGACCACCATTTTCGCAGACATAGTATCTTGAGGCAAATTTTCTAAGACAGCGTGTGTGAAAGATCTGTCTTTAGTCTCAAATAATAGTTCTTGTAGCCTGCTACATCCTTGCATGGATGGCTCTAGGGACTTTGACCTGACTGGGAGGCAGTGAGGGAATGAAGAAAAGACAAGACAGGTAGGCAGGCAGACACAGATAAACGGCTAGAAGCGAGTGGTCTTGCTCTCAATGGAGAAACCCCAGCACCCCAGAAACTCGGTGTGTTTATTATATAGAGTTGAACAGAGAGGCGGGGTTATTGCACTCACCTGAACCAGGAGGCAGGGTTATTACATACTGATAAACAAGGAGCTGGGGTTTATGATATACAGTTGGATCAAGGGGGCGAGCCTAACTCATCTCAGAAGGAGCAGTCTCCGTAGGGAAGACAGTCCTCAGGCTATAGACATCTGAGGGGAGAAAGCTGCAGTGGCCATTTTCTGCAGACCGCAAACACACTTGGTCCTCAGGAAAGCTTTGCCACCGGCTCCAGCTGAGGCTGTGGGGTCCTTGACCGGGTGATGTAGAACCACTCCGATCTTGGGATGAGTCGTGGTGTGGGTTTTTTCCATGTTTTGGTTTCTGCTGTATTATTTATGTTTCTGTTTTATGCTGTGGGGATGAAGCCTAGAGGCTGGATCGTGCTAGGCAAGTCCTTCAGTGCTGAGCGGCATCTATCTATCCCAGCCTGAGAGCCGACTGCTTTATTCTGCAAGTCTTAGGGAGGGCATTCTCTTTATTTGCAGCCTTGGGAAATGCTGAGGTTTTGTGCCTTGCTGTATGTGAATACAGGGTTAATAAAAACCTGTTCTCCTCCCTCCTATGAGAGTGACCGGATCCCTTTATAGCCCATTCTTTGTAATGTGCTAAGGGCAGAATGACGGTGGCGGTGGCGGGTCCAGCACTGCCTGCGGTAAACAAAGCCCTAGATGGTGAAGTGCATGCGAGGAGGAGATTAGGAAGGAACCTAAGTTCCTGGGGCAGCACGCCATGGTTTGAAACTATCTGAAAGTGATGCAACACATCCCAGTTCTCTCGGTGTGGGGGCCGGAAGCAGCCCTGGACTCTGGTCCTGACTTCCCTACCGTGGTCTATTCAGGAGTTACTGTGTCTCACCTGTCATGGGATCATGTTTCCCCCTTGTAATTAAGAGGGTGGGGCTAACGACCAATTAGAGGCTTCACTGGAGAAGACATTGGTTGCTTCCCTGCTGTGTGCACCGCCTTGCACTCGCCTGGCCGACACCGAGAACGCTGGCCTTTGGGTGTGTGTGACTGCTGCCTGAACTCAAACCCACTGCTGCTGGGTCTACCAGTGAGCACTGCGGTTGGCCTCAGTCATAGGGAAGACTTTAGACCTTGACTCCGTGTGCCCAGTGTACAGAGATAAACGCGTGGGAAGGACGGTGCTGAAGACACTCAGTTGGGTTGCTGACCGGGGAAAGCCGTGTGTGCAGCCCTTGCTGTGCCCAGGTTGCAGGCTTCAGGAAGTGCTCAAGTGTTCATGGGGTCTTACGTGTTTCCCTCCTGCACTTCCTTGCTGCTGAGAGTGAATGGCCCCATTGTCACTCTGGCACCTGTCTGCCACTCTCCTGACCTGCACTGGACTTACATTTGATTCCGAGCGTTGCTCTCCTCACTGATGGCAACAAGAACAACAGATCATGTTAAAAAGCCCCCATCCCCTTCACCCTTTATCTTCTGGCCGTGACCCCAAGCCAGGACAGCCAGAGCCAGCTTGTCACAGAGATGCATCTTTTTCCTGTTCCTCCTATATGACAGTTGAGTTATTTGTTATTTCTCCCTTATCCATGGGGATGATGTATTCCAAGACCCCCAGTGGCTGCCTGAACCCATGGATAATATCAAACCCTGCATGTACTGGGTATTTTTCTATACATACATATGCAGGAGAAAGTTTAGTAATAGTAGAATAATCACAACTATGTACTAGGAATTCTGCAAATGGCATTGCTCTTGAAGGAATATTTGCAGACTTCGGCTGACCACTGGTAACTGACACCATAGAAGGCTAAGCTGTGGAGAAAGAGGGAACATGCAGATGAGCAGACTATAAACCACAGCACCCCTCCTCCCCCACTGGGTGTGTTTAACTTCTCTAGAACATCACGGTCAGAATCCCAGTCGCAGCTGGACTGTAGAACTCATACCTATTTTGGTGCCCCTGATGCATTCAGGCAAATGCCATTTACGGAGGCCCTGGTTATGTAAAAGCTGTGGATACCAACCATGGTTAGCACTAGTACCTAGCTGATGGGCTGTGGTGTGCAGGGAAGCCCACGGATTCCATGTTTGTGAGTGAATTGTGATACAACAAAAGATATATGAAAGGTGAGCTAGTGGATTGATTGCAAATGAGTCTGGGGCTTGAGGCTCTCACGGTGTGTTGTGAGCCTGTCTATATAGCATGAGGATGAGGATGAGGGGAGGCCATTTCACAGGTTAATGTTCAGCCCAGGCACAAAGGAGGCATTTGCCGGGGCTCACATGTGCCATGTTTGCAGAGCTCCGACTCCGTCAGCTTCTGCTTTTGCAGGCATTGATTGAAAGCAAGCCTGAGTGCAGACCATAAACTGGAGTTCTCTGCTGCCACCTAGAGATAACCAATGGGAATGCAAGATCAAAAACTTCCTAAAACCAGCTTTAGGTGGCTGAATGGTAGAAAACTTGCTAGCAAGCCAGAGGCCCTTGAGTACCAACCATCCTCTAACACTGGAGAGAGACACAAACAAACAAACAAACAAAAAACCAGGGTTCTGAATGGGTAAAGGCAATGTTTTTAAAAGGTATTGAAGTACTACACTTAGTGTGCTAGCACAGTGCTTTGGTTACTATTGAGAACTTACCTGTGGTTTCTAATATGAAAATAGAGTGTGGATATTACAAAAACTGGCTAGCCAAACACACAAAAACCCCAGTTCCATTTGTTAGGAAATAGAGAGGCTAGTTCCTGTACAGTCTTACTGTCAACCCAAGGAAAGAATGAAACCCCTTTCCTTCCTGAAGAGAGGCTATAGCAGGTCAACCAAATTTAGATGTTTTTCTGGAAATTTTGATAACAATGGAATGACAGCTGTGTAATAAGACTAAACTCCTTGTTGTTAAAAGTGACACCAATGGATAATTGCAACTGGATTTGGAGGACTGTGGGTCAGTTGTGCATTCCTAAGAGAAAACCCCAGTGTAGGATTCCTCGTGGCCCTGAAGCGCGAACGCAACAGGTCTACAGAAGACTAACAAGCGGAGGACCAGCAGTGCCATCCCCAAGCCTAATCATCTTAACGAATACCCTGGGCGTAGGTGGCCTGGGTTTCAGCCATGTTTCTGATCGGGGCAGGGGAGGTCTATATAATGCTTTGCCTACTTACAGAGTCAGCGGATTACACATAACAAGTGTTCCCTGGTGGAAAATGTGCCTTGTTAGGCAAAAAGAGCCCCTGGACTCTGGCAACTGACATAAGCCTATTTTTGTATGTACTGAAGTTTAGTGAACCAGATCCCTGCTAAGCTATCAAAAGGGGTAGAGAAGATGAGTTTGTTGGCTGTCCAGACTTATTTTTTACACATCCACCCAGGGCTGGGGATATAGGAGAGGGCTTGCCTGGCATGCCTAAGGCTCTGTGTTCCTTCTGCACTGAGAAAACATACAATTCCACCCAGACCAGAGTAGCTATTAAATGTGTTTCATTGTTTCTAACTGATACATGGTAGAATTTCCTGGGAATGTGGAAGTTTCTGTGTTGTTTGAAATCAGTGAGTACTGAGGACAGGTGAGAAGTGACTCCTAACTCACTGTTATGAGTTGACACCCCAAACAGTTTAGAAGAAACAAGCCCCATGCACCGAGTCCTCCCAGACCATCACCCACTGGATTTGGAAATCACTGTCGTCTTCATCAAGGTGAAGTATCAGAGATGGGAGCCGGAAGGAAACGCGTATTTGGATGATACCACAGGAGTCGGCATGCCCTGTCAGGACTCTGGCCAGGCTGGTCTAGAATCCATGGGTCCGAGAAAGCACAGCTGCTGGATCTCAGAACATAGACTTAAGTGGCCCTTCATGGGCAGAATTCCTTCCCAGAAGCCCCGGCTCCTCTCTTAGGCTGCCTGGAATGTTTTGGATAATTTCTGTTACTGACAGTTAGCTGCATATAGACTCCGATCTTGTCTATAAAGTATAACTTCATAGCAGTAGGTAGATGAGTGTTTTTTTTTTGTTTTTTGTTTTTTGTTTTTTTGGTAGATGAGTGTTTTATTGACTAGCTGAGGACTGACTGGGTCCTAGACACATTGACCAAAAACCGACCTTGAACCTGTGTCATCTTTATCACATAATTACTCTGAGGCAGTGGTTCTCAACCTTCCTAAAGCTGTGGTCCCTTAATACAGTTCCTCATGTTGTGGGGACCCCCAACCATAAATTTTTTTTTTTTTTGGTTTTTCGAGACAGGGTTTCTCTGTAATGTTTTGGACTCTGTCCTGGAACTCGCTCGGTAGACCAGGCTGGTCTCAAACTCACAGACATCCGCCTGCCTCTGCCTCCCGAGTGCTGGGATTAAAGGCGTGCGCCACCAACGCCCGGCCCATAAAAATTTTTGTTGCTACTTCACAACTGCAGTTTTGCTACTGTTATGAATCATAATGTAGATATCTGTTTTCTGCTGGTCTGAGGTGACCCCCCCCCCAGGTTGAGAACCACAGCTTGCCCTGCAGTTACTGTGGGTTGGCTGTCCAGGTGCGGCTTGCCTCAGTCCTTTGAGTAAGTGTCTGTTAGCACTTCAGTCAGGTTTGACTGGAAGAGATCTGTCGCTCAGCTCATCCCATGGCTACGGGTAGGATATACTCCTTCCTGAATTATCCAACTGAGGCACAGTTCCTAGTCAGCAGCTGGACGCAGCCCTCTCCCCCCTTAGTTCCTAGCCACGTGAGCCTCTCAGGAATCAGCCTCCTAATAGTATCACCCTCTACGATCTTATGGGGGCCAATTACATTCAAACTACCACAAGAGTATTTGCCATAGAACTGTCACATGTCATTTTTATGAACAGGTGTTTCTGGTCTGGTTACTGTGACTGTCTGTGGGCCTGTGAAATGTGTTTTGATCCACTGAATTAAAAGCAGGCATTATCTGAATGGCCACTGCACACTAACGGTCACTAAGCAAGTATGCCCACAGTGGTGTGTTCTTCATCCAGTTGCCCTTACCGTCCAACTCCTGACTCCCAAGAGCCTGGGTACTCAGCCAAGGCAGAGACTAGCTTGGGTGATTTTAGGTTACAAACAGCTAAAGACAACCTTCAGCTCTGGAGAGAGAGATTCCGTGGGAAATTGGTACAGTTGGGTTTTCTTACAGTGGTTTTTGTTTTGTGTGTTTGTTTTGTTTCGAGATAGGGTCTCATTATGTAAGGAGGGAGGAGACCTTCTCCTTCATACTAGGGTTACATGTATGTCCCCAGATCCAGCCAGGTGGGTGACACTAGGAGGAATTTTCATGTGGCAGCCTGGCCCTTTACAAACTATTTCCTCCCATAGATTTGCTTATAGATCCGCCAGGTGTAGTAGAGACAGTATCACTCACACTTGACATGCTTCCTCAATCTCTGAGATGCGGTCATGCATGCCCACATGCATAAGGACTGAGCTCACAAGTTGTGTCTGCTGCATGTGTCCATAGAGAAAGGCTAAATGGGATTTCTCTTCGGGAACGCAGTTCTGAGTGTCTCAATAGACTGATCGTATAGCGAGGGCATCGTGTTGCCAGATGAGTCTATCTGTCAGTTCCATGGTGTATTTCCCTTCAGGATCACCATTTGTAGTTCAGCCCTGCACACGCTAAGGCAAAGAACAATACCATCGCAACACATGGCTGCAGGGTTATTTTTACTCTCTCCGAAGACTGGCTGTTTTATCGTCCATCAAACTGTGTTACTCATATGTTAAAGATCTTGAAAATATGATTGAGATCTCTTTTCTCCAAAAGGTAGGAATTGCCATGTAGGAGATTGGGAAATGCTTATTAAGGGTAGGAATTGCCATGTAGGAGACTGGGAAATGCTTGTTATCTGCAGAGAGAATTAAGTTAGACAAGCACCTTTCTCTCTAACTTTTGTAACTTACCATAGATATAGATTAGAATGTAAAGTATTAGTCCTGTAAGGGCCTCCATAGTCATTAAGTGTAATCTCCTAGTAAAATTGAGAACCCCAGAGGGTATGCATTTTGTTGAAGTTTATACTATTGGTTTATGCCTGTTTAGTGAATACAAAAACTCTTTTCCTGAAATTTTGCATCCCACTAAAGTATGGGTCTGATAAACTAGGAGTTTACCGATTACATTGCCAATAGCCATAGACCATCTGAAACTTATTTGGGTAGGTTGTGTCTAAAATGTTTCCTCTTTGTGTTTCAGGTCTAAAAACTGAAAATTGCATTGCAAACCCAGGTAAGACGTGTCTAAACAATCATCTGTGTCATGGGAATTTTGTTAGGGTTTTTTTTTTCCTCAGGAGTATGGATCAAACACCACTATGCCTTACACCCCCACATACTGTTGCGCCATCATACTGTCAGCCATCATCCCTTAAGGCTAAAGTCTTCTTTTGTTGGTGGCCCTGAGTCCATTTGCTGTACACTCAGAAACCAACACTCAGGATTGAGAGTTAGTAGGGAGAAAACCAGGTTTATACAAAAAGATGGGAGACTGGTTGTTTGGGGGTCCATCTCAGGTACAGGGAGGGACTTTACAGGAAGGTGAGGTGTTTAAAGGCAGTTTTCCTGAGAATTTACAGTGCTGGGTAGAGGGGAAATACAGAACAGCCTTACACAGAGCACTTGGCAAAGTGAGTCTGTCTGGAACAGGGCAGCTAAAGACACATGGCATAGCCGGATTTACTGTCACACTGTCATCATTATTTCCCTGGGGACAGCAGTCTCTGCCCCATTCTGATTTTCCCCTGTGGCTATTCTCTCAAATACTTCTTGCCCTGGGCAGGGCAGGTTCATGCCACTCTGACTTCGTCCCACCTTACAGGAGCTTATGGACTGGTGAAGGAAGGCCCTTACAGCTCTAGCCATTCCCCATGTGGCTCACGTGCACAGAGCTAGATGCCAATTCCTGTGTTTTGGCATCTCAGGAAATAACATTTGGAGAGGGCTGGGGTGGATGTGGCATAAAGGAGAGAAAGGCCTGGTGGGACTGTGATGGGTCTGCTTCAGCTTCCTTGGGGGGAAAAGGAAAGGTGTAGCAAAAAACAGCGTCTCCTAGGAGACGGTGGGAGGGTTGAGGTAACACCGGAAACTCTAAATGTATGGAGTCTCAGCATAATCAAGGGGGTCGCATGCTGTCAAAGTGCAAAGATGCTTTCAACTAATGCAAGCTGTCAGGGAACTGTTTGGAAGATTAAACATTTGAAAACAATAATCCATTTCTACCTGTCTTCCTGGCCAGCTTTTCTATGCATTACTCTTCAGGTTAAAAAAAAAAAAGTGTATCTCCATGTCCTTGAATTGGAATGTCATGTAACCATGCTTTGTGTATTTCTTGAAAGTAGGACAGCTCGAATCCTTATTAGTATTCATGGCATCTGGGTACAGTAACATGGATTTAAATGTTTGTATTTTAGAATATATTGAACCAGTGTATGTCTACAACCCTGGTGAGTATGCGCGTTGACAAACGGTCCAGCAAGCATGTTTAATAGCTCTTTCCTGTGGGGCAAATGTACTTCCTATCTGAGTGAAGGTGGTAACTTGGCAGATCCAAAAGATGAGAAACAATGTGTTCTGGGAAATGCCCTTCTCCCCTGCGGTCACTCTGTGGGCCTCCAAGTGGCAAATGTTCTGGGGAGTAAAGGCAGGGGCACCCACAGAGCTCACTCTAGACCAGTCTGTGGGGCGTGTGCAGCTCTGTATTCCACTGCTGGGATTAGCATAGGCAGGTGACACCCACATTCAAGTGTAAATTAGAATTCTCAGCGTATGTGCCACTCCCGAGTAGCCAGAGGTTTGATGTGTCCATACAGCATAATCAACCTAGTTGAGAACACAGTAAAGTACATTTCTTTTGAGCTAATTGGGATTACCATTATAGGACAAGTTCAAGCCATCTTGAAAGTGCGCTCTGAGACTTTACAACATGGCAGCTTGGTTTGCAGCTTTCAGCCCCCCTGGTGAGGAGTTAGGAACAGCACTGGTAACAGTCACACTGTGCAGCCTCACCCTCTGGGCTCTGTTGAACTAAAGCCCAGCAGAAGGTATGGGGGGCACTGTGAAGCCCACCCTGGATGAGGCACCCTAAACAGTGCTTCTCTGGCAACTCCTTTGTCCAGTATCGCTTGACTAAACTAACAGGGGATTAGATTTCTGTTTCCACATGTGGAGAGTCAGAACTCATTGTCTATATTCAATTTCTCGGTTTTGCATTAGGATTATTTCTTTATTGAAGAGAAAAAACTTGCCTTTAAGCGTGCCACTTTCTGTTGGGGAAGCTGCCTCCTGTCCTCACAGAGACACCCTGAGGACTTGCCCACAGCCCCTCTTACTGGCCCTCTGCTTTCACAAATTCTGATCCATTGCACAGGACCAGTTATTCAAATCAGCCAATTTTTTTCCTGTCTCGTTGACACTCCCGGGAGACTAGCTGTGTGGTTTATCTCAGTGGAGGTGCCAGAGAGGCGTCCAGCCCGTTGCCCACATATGTGGAGACTCTACCTAGGAGGCACTCGGTGATGTGCCTCCTGGTGCTTTGCAGCTTTCGATCTCTTGGTAAAACTGATGTGTTTTGCTTGTTTGTGATGTAGATCTGGAAAGTCAGAAGCTTGAAGACTCTGGTAAGACACTCTTGTAAACTCTGGGACGTCACGTTTGCAAGCTGTGATCGGGTGGGGAGGAGTAGGGAGAAGCCAGCGCCCATCTTAGCTTACTAGTTTGATCTATCAGACTGAATTCTTTATAAAGAACAATATAGCACCCATGCCTGTAGTCATCCCAGAAAGACAGGACGGTGTGACTAATTATTCTGCAACCTTGTGTGACCCAGAATTGTTGACAAAACACATAGCATTTATTTCCCTAAATTAGAATGACAATTCTTTGTGTGTGTATCTGAGTAGCGTGTACTCATGTCCATTTGATGAGTACATTCCAAAGTATAACTGACTTCCAAGTTTTTACATAGAAAAAAAGAAGAAATGTGGACTGGAGAGAGGCTTTCTGCTCTTTTAGAGGACCCAGGTTCAGTTCCCAGCACCCACAGCAGGTGGCTCACAATTACTATCCGTAATTCCAGTTCAGGGAATCTGATACCTTCTGGCCTCCACAGGCACCTGTGAACAAGGGGACCACATATACTCACACATATACACTCACACATAGAAATAAATGTTTTTGTGTAAGTGTGCATGTGTGTGTGTATGCTTATTTGCATGAGTGTGGACACACATGTATGTGAGTGTGTGTATGCATGTGCACATGCCTGTGGGGGCCAGAGGTTGATACCAGATGTCTTCCTAGATCACTCTGTGTACTGAGGCAGGATCTCTCACTGTGAACACAAAGCCCTGTGTACTGAGACAGGGTCTCTCACTGTGAGCATGAAGCCCTGTGTACTGAGACAGGGTCTCTCACTGTGAGCATGAAGCCCTGTGTACTGAGACAGGATCTCTCACTGTGAGCATGAAGCGCTCCGATTCTGCTAATCTAGCTAGCCATGTTTCAGGGCTCCCCTGTTTCCACCTCCCCCACACACAGATTATAGCTGGCCACAACACCCACCTACCTGGCTCTTATGTGGGTTCTGGGGATCTAAGATGTGGTGCCCAGCCTTGCATGGCAAGTACTTTATCCACCAAGCCGTCTCCCTAGCATCCAAGTCTCTATCTTTTAAAGATGTTATTGTCTTCAGTGCTAGGGTAGAAAAGTTCTCAGGTTACTGGAGAAATTATTGGAACACTTTTCTATTTTCTTTTTTCCCATGGTGCCTGGAATCAAACCCTGGGCTCCCTGCAAGCTAGGTAAGCACACTATTGCTGAGATATACCCCCTCCCTGACAAAGTTTCTAATGGTTGATCCAAGAGTATGTGTCACTAACCTTAATATGATTATACTTTTAACCCAGTTATAACTTGGGAACTAGGACAACGTTAAGTGTAAAACTGTTGCCTCGCAGTCTCTTCAGCATGTTTAGAAAGGACAGTAATGCCAGCTTGGGTTTTGTTTTTGAGGACTAAGCTTCGAACATGCTAGGCCAGTGCCTTAGCACTGTGATATCTCAGTTCTCTTTTTACTTTATTTCTTAATTTTAAGACAGAGTCCAAGCAGGACATGATGGTGCACACCTTTAACCCCAGCAGAGACAGGCAGATGTCTACTATGTCTACTATGAGTTTGAAGCCAGCGTGGTCTATATAATGATTTTCAAGGTTACACAGTGAGACCCTGTCTTAAAACAAAAACAACTACAAAAAAGACAAAAAGCCACAAAACAAACCTCAGACAGGGTCTGAATAGATTAGCTGCCCTTGAACTCACTTTGTAGTTCAAGCCTTCAATGTTTAATCCTCTGACCTCCGCTTTCTGAGTAGCTAAGATTTTCAGGCCTATACCACAGGCCCCAACCAATCATACATTTCTTTAAAAGAGGTTCTGCAGAATCAGAAAGATACCCAGTTGTGGATAAGCCATGACTCAGTGACTCTGTCCAGCAGCTGACCGAGCTCAGGTAAGCTCTGGCCAGGTCCTACTGACTGACCAGTGACCAAAGACACAAGGCATTATGCAGAATCCCAGCGCACACTACCCATGTAGGTTGGGTACTATTAATAATATCATTATTATAAACACTAAACCTAGAAACTAGACTCTAAAAAGCATTAAACGATCCAAGAAAGCACTTATTTGTCTGCTTACCTGAAGTGTTCTCCGGAGTGACAGTTCTCACCGTAAATTAAGTGTCAGTAGGTTAGCGATTCTCCCCTTCTTGTCATTTTGTCTCCTGTTGTCTCTCAAAGCTTTCTGAGCTTTTCACTACAAAGAGTCCAATATAAACCTAAGTTAATTTGGAGGCTGAGTACTTGGCCTCACTTTGTTGCTGGATCTTATGTAGCCCAGGCTGGCCTCCAATTTGCTACATAGTAGAGAATGATCCTGAACTCCCAATCTTCCTGCTTCCACCTCTCAAGTCTGGGTTTCCAGGCACCAGCTCCCACACTGACTCTACTCCCCTCCCCCCTGCCTGCCCATGCGCACACACAAGAAAACTCTTCTGCTTAGCCTTAGAATTAAAAGCCAGGGGCTAACCTGGTAAATGAATTCTCTTTTTCTTACTCTGTCATACTAGCTACCAGGTTATGAATTAAGCCACTAGAGGTGAGACAGGTATCACTTTTGAGGTTTCTTTTTAACGCTCTGTGCAGTGAGCCAAGCATTTGATACAATATTTTTCCATTAATCCTGTTTTTTAATATGCAAGCTATTTTCTTTGCATACTCAAAGACTTCAAAGTCACAGCCAATATCTACAGTGAGAGTTGGGCTAAGTTAAAGCAGAGACTTGAGCCTTTAAAAATGGATGGACCATGCTAGGAAGTTAAACTTGGAGCAATAAGAACTAAATCATAGATGCTCCTGAAATCTGGCTTGGTGGACTTGAATTCATATCGCTGTTGCTGTTACATTTATGACTTATCTATCTGAAGTTTTGAGATGGGAGACAAAGGGGGATGTTAGAAGTGTCCTAACTGAAAAACACCAACAGCATTTATTTCTGCCTTCAGGTAGGAAAAGACTGGATTCCACAGGAGTACCAGGTAAGGTCGTTTTCTCTTTACTCAGAGTATTGAAGACAAGGACACTGAGTGTCATGGATGATACTCGGAGGTTTCATTTTACATGGTGTCATCGTCGTCATGTCGACTGTCTCTACACCTTTCTCTGGAGGAGACGGTACCCACCCAGTCTTCCCAGGTTCCTGGGGCACTGGCTCTGGGCAGGACAGCCGCTCTTTGGAACATGGTTCAGGGCCAGTTTTCTAGGACCTGGTTGCAGAGGGTCCAGGCCTTCCTGAAGCTCTGTAGAACTCTGTTTCTTGGACCAGCTAAGCATCCAGGCTCACAGCTGTTCTCTGGGACCCTCAAGTAACAGAACACAGTACTCTACTGGTGTAGACACAGCTCAGTGAGGTGTTATTCACAAGCTCCTCAAGTCACAGTGAGGGCTTATGGGAGTCCGAGTTGTATCATCAAAAGCCTGAAGCCATACTGCAGTGGGACCTGGAGGTCGTGTCCAGTGCTCATGACACAGGAGTGGAAACTACTCAGGAGCAGCCAGAGGCCACTTAAGTTCTTTCTTAGGAAAGAAAATTGAGGGCCTTCCCTATTTCCTGGCAAGCAACAGTAGACACACGAGAGGGCAAAAATATACCAGCACAGGGACAGAGACACAAACTGTCATCATTACACATGCCAGGAAGTCTAATAACTGCACACAGTCACATGTGAGTGGAGGACTCAGGTTTTTTACTGTTTCTTCCCCAATGCTTGCTTTTCCTCTGTGTTTTCCACTATGTTTACCATGACGTTACCTTCCTTTCACAGCAACCATGAAAAAGTGTATTTTTAAACATATGAGGGGTAGCCTGGGCAGGCACTGAGGTGCTGAGCTACTGTGACTCCAGTAAGATTTCTCAGAAGTCCCTCAGCAACTTATGCTGATGGGGGGAGATGAAAAAACAAGAGGGCACATTTTATCATACAGTGCTGAACAGTCATGATGCCTCTGTGCCTCAGAGCCACCATCTTTCAAATGTGACCACCTTATCATAGCAACTTCACAGGGATATTGGTGAGGAGTATAAGACCACAACCAATGCTTAATATCCTTCCCCCTGGGTTCATGCAGTAATTTGAAACATTTTTTCTGTATATTTCACTAAATATAGGCATGATCATCTGTTAAAATACTTAATTATTCACTTATTTAGAGGGATTGAACTCACAGGGCTTATGCATGCTAGGCAAGTACTCTACTACTGAACTACAGTCCCAGTACATTGAGCATGCGCGCTAAATCACATCCATGGTCTGACCATGGCTGTACACTGCTGTCTGTTTTAAATAGTAGACTGTAACACAGAAAACTGGTCCAGCAACTTTTGTACTGACCCAGATCAGCCTTGTAATAGTGGGCACACCTTGTTTCCATACATCACTTCCGGTCTTTGGGCCTGAGTTTGCACAGTGCTCTCTTAGGGATCCTCACAGTCTAACATCTGGCCATCTGAAAGGCAGCTTCTAAACTGAGTGTGGAGAACAGACGTGGGCTGTGTAAGCAGAGATGGCATTCAGTCCCCCTCTGCCACTTGCCTCTGGTCACTTTGTGTAATGACTTCATTTAGCCAAGCATCCTCCATTGTAAGGTACAGATGATCCCACCTTTCAGGGCTGAGGATCTGATCTCACAAAACACCCTGACAGTGGTAAAACAGTAAATAGAAGCTGCCATTTTAATTAATTGAAAATCTTTTTTTCATTTAGGAATTCAAGTGCTACAACCAGATGAAAATCCTTCCTGGCAGGATGAAAACCCTGGTAATTCATGGTTGGGATGGCCGATGGAATTCTAAGTTCTCTACCATCATCATTCAGATAACTCAGGGTCTGGGGGGGGGGAGTGGACATCTGGTCTCTACAGTTTCTGACATACATCCTGATGTTAGAAGGGGGGAAGTGCCGAGAACTCATTTCTTTTTTGACATTTTTGAAATTAAGCTATGTTTTTTTCTCCACTCTCCTTCCCTTCCCCCTCCCCACTCCCAATTTACTCAGGAGGTCTTGTCTTTTTCCCCTTCCTAGGCAGACACATGTATTTGTTGCCTAGGTTCTTTGGGGTTGTGGCCTGTAGGCTGGTTGTCCTTTGTTTTATGTCTAATATCCACTTATGAATCGAATACCTATTTTTTTTTTTTGGTTTTTCGAGACAGGGTTTCTCTGTGGCTTTGGAGGCTGTCCTGGAACTCACTCTGTAGACCAGGCTGGCCTCGAACTCACAGAGATCCGCCTGCCTCTGCCTCCCGAGTGCTGGGATTAAAGGCGTGCGCCACCAACGCATGGAATTGAGTACCTATTATATTTGTCTTTCTGGAGTTACCTCACTCAGGATGGCTTTCTCAAGCTCTGTCCATTTGCCTGCAAATTTCAAGATGTCACTGTTTTTTTTTCTGCTGAATAGTACTCCATTGTATAAATGTACCACATTTTCCTTATCTGTTCTTCAGTTGAGGGGCATCTAGGCTGATTCCAGGTTCTGGCTATTATGAATAATGCTGCCATGAGCATAGTTGAACAGATGTCCCTGTGGTATTATTGTACATCCTTTGAGTATATGCCCAAAAGTGATATTTCTGGGTCTTGAGTAGGTTGATTCCCAATTTTCTGAGAAACTGCCATACCAATTTCCAAAGTGGCTGTACAAGTTTGCACTCCCATCAGCAACGGAGTGTTCCTTTACTCCACATCCTTTCCAGAATATTTCGTCATCAGAGTTGTTGATCTTGGCTATTCTGACAGGTGTAAGGTGGTATCTCAGAGTTGTTTTGATTTGCATTTCTCTGATGGCTAAGGATGTTTCCTTAAATGTCTTGACCATTCCTCTGTTGAGAGTTCTTTTAGATCTGTACTCCATTTTTTAATTGGATTATTTGGTATTTGATGTCTAGTTTGAGTGCTTTTGTACATTTTAGAGATCAGTACTCTGTCAGATGTAGGGTTTGTGAATATCTTTTTCCATTCTGTAGGCTGCCATTTTGTTTTGTTGACAGTGTCCTTTGCCTTACAGAAGCTTTCAGTTTCAGGAGGTCCCATTAATTCATTGCTGCTCTCAGTGTCTGTGCTTCCAGTGTTGTATTTAGCAAGTGGTCTTCTGTGCCAATGCATTCAAGGCTACTTCCCACTTTCTCCTCTATGGGGTCCAGTAAGGTCTTTGATCCATTTGGACTTGAGTTTTGTGCATGGTGATAGATATGGATCTATTTATATTCTTGTACAAATCGACATCCAGTTATGCCAGCACCATTTGTTGAAGATGCTTTCTTTTTTCCATTTTACAGTTTTAGCTTCTTTATAAAAATAAGGTGTTCATAATGTATGGGATAATGTCAGGGTCTTCGATTCAGTTCTATTGGTCTACCTGTCTGTTTTTATGCCAATACCAAGCTGTTTTCATTACTGTAGCTCTATAGTAGAGTTTGAAGTATGGTGATGTCTCCAGAAGTTCCTTTATTGTACAGGATTGTTTTGACTATCAGGGTTTTTTGTTTTTCCATATGAAGTTGAGTATTGTCCTTTTAAGCTCTATATAAAATATTGCTGGGATTTTGATGGATATTGCAATGAATCTGTAAATTGCTTTTGGTAAGATTGCCATTTTCACTATGTTAATCCTACTTATCCAAGAACATGGGAGATCATTCCTTTGTCTGCTGTCTTCTTCAGTTTTCTTCAAAGACTTAAAGTTCTTGTCATACAGGTTTTTCACTTGTTTGGTTAGTATTACCCCAAGATATTTTATGTTATTTATGGCTATTGTAAGGGTGATGCTTCTCTGATTTCTCAGTCCATTTATCATCTGTATATATGAGGGCTACTGAATTTTTTATTTTTATTTTTTAGTTAATCTTGTATCCTGCTACATTACTAAAGTGTTTGTAAGTTGTAGTAGTTCTCTGGTAGAATTTTTGAGGTCACTTACCTATACTATCATCTACTATCGAATAGCAAAAAGCTTGACTTGTTCTTTTCTGATTTGTATCCCCTTTTGTTGTCTTATTGCTCTAGCCAGAACTTTGAATAGTATATTGAATAGCTATAAAGAGAGTGGACAGCCTTGTCTTGTTCCTGATTTTAGTGGGATCGCTTTGAGTTTCTCTCCATTTAGTTTGATGTTGGCTTGCTGTATATTGCCTTTATGTTTAGATGTTCTTTTTATCCCAGCTTTCTCCAAGACCTTGATCATGAAGAGGTGTGTTGAATTTTGTCCAAGGCTTTTTTCAGCATCTAATGAGATGATCATGTGGGGTTTTTTTTTCTTTTAGTTTCCAAGTTAGTGAAATACAGGTTTTTGATTATTCTCTCTTGGTTTCCTTTGTGTCTGTTGTTATGCCACCCTTTTCATTTCTGATTTTGTTAATTTGGATATTCTGTCTTTTTGTTAATTTGGATAAAGGTTTGTCTATCTTGATTTTTTCGAAAAACCAGCTCTTTGTCCCACTGAGTCTTTGTATTGTTTTCTGTTTCTGCTTTATTGATTTCGGTCCTCAATTTGATTATTTCCAACCATCTACTCCTCAGCTTCAGTTGTTCTGTTAATTCACTAGTTTGAGATTTTTCTAGCTTCTTTATGTAGGCATTCAGTGGTATGAACTTTCCTTGTACCACTGCTTTCATTGTGTCCCAGAAGTTTGGGTATGTTGTGCTGTCATTTTCATTGAATTTTAGGAAGCCTTTATTTCTTCCTTGATCCAGTGGTGATTCTTGAGCATTGTTCAATTTCTATGAGTGTATGGACTTCCTGCAATTAGTGTTGTTGTTGAATTCTAACTTAAACCATGATGATCCAATAAGATACAGGGGATTATTTTAATTTTTTTTGTACCTGTTGAGGTTTGCTTTGTTACTGAGTATGCCGTCAAGTTTAGAGAAGATTCTATAGGTGCTGAGAAGGTATTCTTTTGTGTTTGGGTGGAATGTTCGTTCTATAGGTGCCCGTTAGGCCCATTTGAGTCATAACATGTTAGTTCCTTTATTTCTGCTAAGTTTCTGTCTGGGAGACCTGTCCAGTGATGACAGTGGAGTGTTGAAGTCTCCCACTATTAGTGTGTGGGGTTTGATGTGTAATTTGAGTTTTAGTAATGTTTCTTCTACAAATGAGGGTGCCCTTGTATTTGGGGCAGAGATGTTCAGAATTAAGACTTCATCCTGATGGATTTTCCCTGTGATGAATATGAAATGACCTTCATCTCTTTTGACAAATTTTAGTTTGAAGTCTATTTTGTTAGATATTAGGATAACTACACCAGCTTATTTCTTAGGTCCATTTGATTGGAAAGTCCTTTCCCAATCATTTACTATGAGGTACTGCCTGTCTTTTGAGGTTGAGGTGTGTTTCTTGTATGCAACAGCATGGTTTCTATCTTCGTATCCAATCTGTTAGCCTGTGTCTTTTTATAAGCAAATTCAGTTCATCCTTATTAAGGGATAATAATGACCAGTGACTGCTGTAGTGGAATTATCTATTGCCGGAGTTTTTGTGAATGTAACTAACTTCCCTAGATTGGAGTTTTCCTTCTAGTACTTTCTGTGGGCCACATTTGTGGATAGGTATTGTTTAAATCTTGTTTTCTCTGTCTATGGTGATTGAAAGCTTTGCCAGATAAAATAGTCTGGGCTAGCATCCTGTTCCCTTAGTGTCTGCATAACACCTGACCAGAATTTTCTGGCTTTCATTGTTTCCACTGAGAAGTGGCCTGCCTTTATACGTTACTTGGCCGTTTTCCTTTGTAGCTCTTAATATTCTTTCTTCTTTGTTTAGTGTTTTGATTATTATGTGGTGAGGGAACTTTTTTTTGTTCCAGTCTATATGGTGTTCTGTAAGCTTCTTGTACTTTCTTAGGTATGTCTTTCTTTACGTTGGGAAACTTTTCTTCTATGATTTTGTTGAATACATTTTCTGTGCTTTTGAGCTGGACTTCTAGCCCTATTATTCGGTTTGGTCTTTTCATGGTATCTGAGACTTCTTGGATATTTTGTGTTAAGAATCTGTTGGATTTAAAATTTTCTTTGACTGATGAATCTATGTCCTCTATCGTATCTTCACCACCTGAAATTCTCTTTTCTCTTCCATCTCTTGTATTCTGTTGTTTATGCGTATATCTAGTTCCTGATCTCTTACCGACATTTTCCATTTCCAGAGTTCCCTTGGCTTGTGTTTTCTTTATTGCCCCTATTTTAGTTTAAGTCTTGAACCATTGCTTTCACCTGTTTTGACTGCTTTTTTTGGTTTTAAGGGATTAATCACTTCCAATTTTTGTCTTTTCCTCTATTTCTTTAAGGGAATGTTTCATTTACTCTTTAAGGGCCTCAATCATCTTCATAACATCATTTTCTTCTGCTTCATCAGTATTGGGATGTTCATGTCTTGTTGCTATAGAACCACTAGTTTCTGGTGGTCCATGTTGCTCTTTGTGTTTCTGAGTGAATTCTTACCTTGTCTACCCATCTCTTCCTCCATTCGGTACATCTGGAGCCTGTGCTTCAGGGGAGGTCCCTCTTCCTCCATTTGGTATAGTCGGGGGCTGTGACTCTGTTGAATGCTCCTTTAGGTGCAGGCAGGATGAGTTTCTGGTGATCAATCCTCCAGGTGCAGATGAGCCGTGTCGGCATGCCTTCTTTTCCTCAACCGGCCAGATTTTGTGAGGAGATGAAGCATTGTGCCCCTCCTGGAAAGCTGAACGTAGCGCAGTCTTTTTAAAGCTGGTTCATCTAATCCAGCAAGGTAGATACTGTCCTTGCACAGCAAGGTAGATACTGTGCTTGCACAGCAAGGTTAGGAATCTGGTGAGAGCAGAAAAGACAGCCAGACTGACACCCATCTATTCTGGACTCCTGAGACATAGCATTTAGATTTAAAATTATTAAAATGTGAGTACCGGCATTCCAAGGCTAGCCACACACCTGATGGTGGTACAGCACGGCCCCTGGGAGCGGAGATCAAAGTCAGACATTGGTCCCATGGATGCATGAGCTTTGATTCATGCACGCTGTACCTCCGACAGTGCAGATGACTGGAGCGCCTTGAGGTGCTGGCTCTGCCTAGGATGATGTGGTGCTCTCGTGATGCGCTGGCACTACGTGGAACTTGGCAATCTGAGTTTGTTCAATATACAGAAAAAGGTTCTTTTTGGTAAACGAACTTCACATTCATTTTAATGGAGACACATTCATTGAGGAAATTTTTCAGGGAGCAGCTGGGCCAAATTAAAGCCTTCTTTCTCTAACCTCAAATATGCTGCAGGCCCACTCTCAAGGGGAGATTAAGTTTGCTCCAATTTTGAGGTCTTTATGTCTGGAGAAAATGTATAATGCAGTAACTCAGATTCTCTTTTATGTTCTAGAAGACAAAAGCCAAGGAAATGCTGTCAATCCTAGTAAGAAATACCTTCTTTTCTTTTTGCCAGTTTGTAGGCTCGGTGTTTTAAGAAAATGCAGTTATATCCAACTATAACTGATACCTTTGTGGATGTGCACATGTACTGTTTTGTTTGAAAAGAGGCATTAGAAGTAAAGTTTACAACAGATCTAAAACAAATGGAAAGAGAAAATTGCTAAGAAATTCTGGTGCACTTGAACAAGAAATAATTGTCTTGGTTGCCTACATGGATTAAAAAACCCTAGAACAGTATGCTCAGATCTAGAAATTTAGCCTGAAACTTCGAGGCTATGCAGTATGTGGAACAAGCACCTGACTGCAGGTGTTTCCGTAGTCTCCCCGCTCAGCCTGCTGCCGTTCACACAGCTGTGCTGTCTGTTACAGGTGGAGGATACTCAATACATTCCATAGTGACATGACTGTGTTCTCTTTAACAGCCCTGGGCCCAGCTCCAGCTCCAGCTCCAGTTCCAGGTCCCAAAATCCATCCTTCCGCATCCTCCGGCAGAATGCTCCTTCCATCAGTCACAGCATCCATTGTGTTAACGGTCACTTCTGCCATAAGCATCTCCACTGCTCTATAGTTTGAAACGGCATCCTAAGGTTCATTTGAAAGACACTATGGGTTACCACAAGAAGTCAAGAGAAAGGTCTTTCTCACTTGCACAGACTCACTGTATAAAATAAGAAGTGTATATTTGTTCCCTGTTTCACAATTTAAAAAGCTGGTCCAGATATTGTCATAGAATTAACTTTTCATTTGTTTAATTTTAGGATTGCAAAAATCGCAAAGCTGTATACTTTTGATTGGATTCAATAAAACTTTTAAGTTTACTAATTGTTTTCCTGTAGGGTCTTCAGATATTAAAAGGCCATTATTAACGTGACTGACATGAATTTAAAGCCAGAATCAAAATGTGAATGATAGTTTTCTCTCTGAAACAATGAATAGGTAGACAGGAAAGTGAATTGCTAAGACGGCAGCATTCTGTTCCCAGTAGACAAAGCAGCAGAGCTGCAGGCAGGGCGAGCCCACTTGAGGACCCACTAACACTAGCAGCTCTGGGACCCCTCCCTTCCCACAGGGAGCTGTTACTTTGCTGCTGTGTATTTCTGTCTTGTCTTTCCTTCTCGCCAGTCCCCTAGATGACCACCAGGACCTATCTCCTGAGCCAAAGTGAAAATGAGCACATGCAAAGAAAACCCTCCCAAAGCCACTGGTATTGCAATAAGCACAAAATTAACACACACACACACACACACACACACACACACACACAAAACAAAACAGGGGAGAGTGGTGTTATGTTTGTATGCTCACCCAGCAGCAACAACTACAAATTCTAGCAGCTAACTTGGAAAGTTTTAGTCTTCACAGTGTAACCTCAGCTTCAGTAGGATTCTAGACATGGCACCTTCCCCACCACATGTTAACACACAGCAAGATTCACGGTGTTCTCTCTCAGAACATTCCCCCAGTGTAAGCCGAAGCACCACACAGAAGCGGAGCATAGTTACAGCATTTGGAGAGGTGTCAACTAGCTGTGGTCCAGGTCTGTCCTGCAGTCTGAAGTTGTATTTAAAACCGGTGGTCTATGGAAGAATCACATTATGTCGTACTCAGCCACTGTTTTCAGATGCTAATTTATGAGGGAACTCTTCATCCTAGATGATTTCATTTGTTATACTCTAGTCAAAATATGTCAACACTGACAAGTCCTTAAATAAAACACCAGAGGACAGAATTACATAAAATTGCAAATTAACTATTTATTTTATAGATTTCATTTTTAGAAATAAAAAGTTAAGAAAAAAGTTGCAAAAACAGTGATTTTGCTAAGTCCTAATTGGTTAGGCATGTTCTGTAAGTTCCCAATAAGTAAAATAATATAAAAATATATCTTCAAGTCTTCATAGAACAAAAGGAAAACCACACAAATCATTAAATACTTTGGGATTTTCTTTACTCTCCATCGATGACCTCACAGATATAGAAGTTGAAATGCATTTGCACTCTGAGGCATAGTCTCCAACAGCCACATAATTAGTTTATTTTGTTAGGTAGGATTTTGTGCTATGGAAAAAGAATGGAGAATAACCATTAAACACTGACTATGCTTAATGCTGCTATAAAATGTACAACAAATGCATACATATACTTTGGGTAATTGTGTACTTTTCCTTAAGTAAATATACTTTTAAATATAAATTTTCAGATTTTCTTTGAAGAGCTTTGTGGTGTCCATTTCAGATTTAATGTCCAGTAGTTTCTCAGGAACCTCAAACCTGCCAGCAAGGAAAGGACTGGTTTTCCCATCCATGTGGTCATTGTAAAGGCGGCCTGATGTAGCAAGATGACTTTATGAACCTCTGAACAAGTCTGTAAATGGTCAGCTAAAGACACCGCCTCTGCTATGGATGGTTTCATTCAATCCATGTTCTACCAGTTTTATATCTTCTAGGTCATCTTTTATGATGCTAATCAAGTGGCTGAGGCCTTCCTGTTGTTGTTTCAAATGCTAGAATGAATTTGGAAGAAAATAAAATGTGAGTGTACTGTTCTGTTAAACTGAAAGCTACCCACAAAGTACTTACAACACTCATTGACTAAACAACAAGCATGCACAGTGAGATAGCTATCATTAGTACAAGACACACTCTAAAACCAGGGAAAACCAGACAAGCAAGCATCGACAATATCTTTACAATGTGTTTTCTGTATCTTTAGACAGGGCCTTGAACCAATGCTCCTGCCTCCTGAATGCTGTGACTGTGGGTATGCACTACCACAGTTTCTGTGGTGCTGGGGACTGAAACCAGGGCTCCAGGCATAGTAGGCAAGCACTCTACCACCTGAGCTACATCCCTGACCCCAGCTTCTCTATTTGATACACATACAGAACATTCTAGATCAGGGTAAAATGCAGCTCAGATATTTGGAGGAAGCCTGATTTACCTCCCCGATGACCTGAGTACTGCCACTGCCTACCCTTTGACACTTCTACTATCTAAATAATATTCTGGGGAGGGGGATATGTCTGGTTCTTTACTTGTCATAACAGTATGTGGACCATTTGATGTGTACAGGGTTACAAACTGAGACCTTGTCTCTCAAAAACAAACAGATGTAGAACTGCCAGTTGAGATGTTAATTCTACGTTTAATTTAGATGTGTGTTTGTCCTAGACAGGGTTTCTCTGTGTAGCCCTAGCTGTCCTGGAACTTGCTCTGTAGACCAAGCTGGCCTCAAACTCAGAGATCCACCTGTCTCTACCTCCCAGGTGCTGGGATTAAATGTGTTTTTACTTCGAGTTTCTCAAAGGAGCCTGAGGTTACAATTTCTCCACATTCTAACGGGTGAGTGCTCTGCTGTTGAACAGCAGCCACCTGACAGATATGTAGTTGTAAGCTAACACTCACCTGCTTGATCTCCCGTAACAGGTCTGCATCTATGTAATACCTTTCTTCAGATTTCACAGCTCCAAAGTGATTCTGCATCCGGATCTGAGACATCAGTTCATTTAGTCGACCCTAAAAATGAGTCAGAAACAAGTGCTAACAATCACAGCTACTCCTAAAGACGGTTGGCTTTTTGAAAAGATAGCTTCAAAACCATCAGTTATCTACACAGAGAAATCCTGTCTCAAAAACCATAAAAGAAAAACAAAAAACAAAACAACAACAACAATAAACCCCAAAACTCCCAGGTCTTGATTTGAAGCACTAATGCAAGCTAAAAGTACCATGACTGAGAATTTATTTTAGAAAGTTTTAATTAGTGCAAACAAATGCTTAAGACACACAATACTACACGTTACTATGTGATGACTACTTAACCCGCTCAGCTCCACCTCAAACAGACTTCCAAGTGCTTACTTTGAACTGAGTAGGTGCATTCAGTTCCCCCTGGATAGTGTCCAGCTGGACCCGCAGCTGTTCTTCGTCAGCCTGGATGGCGTAGCCACTCTTCCTTTGAATCTCCTGCTTGATTAGGACCTGTAAGGGACAGGATCAGTACGAGCCAGTGGAGTACTTTTAAGATCAATTGTGGACTTGCTGGTAAAAACTGGCTGAGAACTAATACAGGGGTGATTTGTAATCCTAGCACCTGGGAGGCTAAGGCATGAGAACCAGTCTGAGGCTGGCCTGAGGAACAAAGAGAGTTCTAGGACTGTTTAGGCTGCATAGCACTGAGACCCTGTCTCAAGTAAACAGTAAAAACCCAAAACATTAAAAAAGGAAAAAAAAAAAATCCAAGTTTTTTATTCTTACTCTGAAGTGCTTTTACATTCCTATTAGATTTTCTTATTAATGAAAATATCTGTATAAAACATAACACGGATTAAAAAAAAATCAATGCTGTTTATAAATTTACTTTTTTTGAACTCAAAGACTACTGAAAAAGATACAAATCATTTTTGTGTTTTGAGACAGGGTCTCATGTAGCCCATGGTGACCTTGAACTACTGATCCTCCTGCCTTATTTAAAGTGTTAGGGATTACAGGCATGCAACACAACATCCAGATTTAGTCAAGTTCACTGTCAAGTTTCCAGCAGTCTGGTCAAGTGATCATCTCCAATGCTGAGTAGTTACACAGGGATCCAAGTGCTGGCATGAGGCTGCCCAGTATGAGCAGATGTGGGCTAAATGGGAGAATGGCTCCTGAGAGACACGCATGGGAATTCTCTGTAGACTGATAAAATATTCTAAAACTCACCTCTGTAATGAAAACACACTCACAGACAGTATATCCTGTGAGTTAAGTATGTGATAATCTCAATGAAAAGTGTTCAAAGAGGAAAAAGAAGCCATCAGTATTTTTCCTTGATTTAGAAAGATTAGAGTAACACAAAAATTAGCTTTTTATTAGACAAATCAATGAAATTAGCTACACTTGGGGGGTTCCACATGGACTTTAGAACTCCCCTCTACTTTCTGGATAGTCACCCGTTTCCTCACTTTGCTGTACATTACTTTTGGTGTTTTTTTTTTTATTTTCTTTTTTCTTTTTTTTCGAGACAGGGTTTCTCTGTATTGCTTCGGAAGTTGTCCTGGAACTCACTCTGTACACCAGGTTGGCCTTGAACTCAGAGATCCACCTGCCTCTGTCCCCCGAGTACTGGGACTAAAGGTGTGCACCACCAACGCCTGACTTACTTCTGGTAAGTTTTATTTGTTAGAAAATCACCTGTCTCCCTAGGTTCCAAATCTGAAAAATGCTATCATCTTTTATGACCCAGGCCTATGTGTGTGGTACTGTTTCTCTGATGGGATGTTTCTCTCTCTTTGAGATGATTCTGTTCTGACGGCCTTCCACAGGACAGCTTTGCAGGTCTGTTCACTGCCATTCTGAATGTATCGATCGATGGCTCCTCACCATTTCTCTTACAGGTTTCAAGCTTTCTCTGATATTTCTCAAATTTCTTAGCAGTGAGCTCATTAGATTTTATTTGTTTTTTTGATGAGGGATTTTGCTCGTGTCCCATCAAATCTGGTATGGAGCACTCGCTCTCATGATAATTTGTGACTTCACCTTTGGTTCTATTCCATTCGGTTAAACTGGTAATTGGTTTCAATCATTAATACACGGCCACATTCCTTTTCCTGGCACTCAAAAATGCTTCCTACTTTATGGAACTTTTACCAAAATTATTTCTATCACCCTGTCACTAAGGTGAACTTTAGACTATTTTTTCTCTTATTTCCTACCCTCTAGGATCCTCCAACATTTGGGTCTTTTTCCTATTTAAAAAACATTTCCTTATTTGGCATATATTTCACATATAACCCTTATAAGCACTGGGGGAATTCTAAACTATTACCTGTAAGGTT